TTAGTTCATTAGTTGGGTGATACTAATAATTATTATAAATTGAACTCACTATCTCTTTTCTAATTGGCCGAAAGCGTACAGTGAATTTTCGAAATCAGCCCCTGTGACGTCATCTACAGCTGCAGATTATAAAATAATCATGTAAAGGGGCCGTTTCTCGGAGGTCCCGAAATATTTTCGCGCCGTAGCAAAATCTCAAACCCTTATGATTACAGAGCTGAGTTATTCACATATTCTTAATACGAACAGAGGTTCTCTTCATACAAGAAGTTTCAGGAGTAGACTCCTCTCTGTTTTTAGATACAGATTAATTAAAAATGGCTTTGCAGACCCGAAAAGTTTCCGGGGCTTTCGAGAAACGGGCCCCAGGACACTCAAGGTCTCGGTAAGGGTTATCAGCCTCAGCCTTTGGCTTCACCTGATAACGCCTACCTCGACCTTGATTATTCTGGATATCCAATAATTGTTTATAACATGTTACAGGCGCTTTAAACATAAGTGTTGTTTTCTGTCCTTTCATCTGCATGGATTAACCACTGGCTACCACTTTCTAATCGAGACCCTTTCAGAGATGTATTCAGATCTGAATGACGTTAGATTGACCTAAGTACGAATTACACCAGGCACATTTGTGTTTTGTTATAATTTAATACCCTACAAATAAATTTGCAGACAGTTTAACTCTAAAAAGAAGGCAACATAGCACGGAGTCCATGGCGCTTGATTCTTGATTACAAGTGTATAAAAAAAGAAAACTTAAGCCAAGAACACAACAAAAAGAAACATTTCAATGACTCGTTTATTTTCCGAATGTTATTATCCAAATCAGAGAGTTGCACGAGCACTCGAGGCATTCCGAAAGTTGTCTCGTCAACTTGACGTCATGAGGAGACCTTATGTCGCTCACCATCTTCTCCACAACGAACTAGTTGACCAACCAAAATGATCATGGAACCCAGCAAAATTCTTTGTTTACTTACGCGCGGCTATTTTTTCTCGCAGTTTTCTTTCGCGTGACGCACGACGGACCAAGCGAAAGAGGGACTACTCGCGGTCTAACTCATGTTTCAAGCACCACGTCACCCCTATCTTCATCGTTTGTCTTCTCACGCAATTCTTCTTTCCCAAAGAATATCTTTGTGACGTCCTCATGTTTCAGTCGCAGAGCTCTGTAACACAGATATACCACCTTGGCACAGCACTGAGAGTTCTAACACGTAATTCCTGAAGCATTTTGTTTCAACTCGCTTGTAACCTTCCATTAGCGTTGATGGGTTCAATTGGGCTGAATGATTTCTATGCTGCATAGATTTCCTGTCTGTTATATTCTCAGTGCTGCATAACCTCCTTTTGGCGTTCTACATGGGTATCAAGTGTTCTTGTCTCGAGGCGAGATCGCTATTTTTAAGGTAGCTCTGTGGTTGATAAAAACTCTTGTTCTATATGTTCATCGTGAAGTTGAATACTCCACAAGATAAACTGGAATGGCCTGCAAAATAGGACAAAACACGGAATTGATGAAAGAAAACCAATGTAGCATACAAAACTAAGAACACGACTCGACACAGACATCTTACCTGTAACGGATCAAACACCACGTATTCTTGCTGCGGAGGGCCTGGGGAGACCGGCGAGGGAGTGCGACCGCCAGTCTAGCGAGACAGAAAAAAAGAACCTTCAGTTTCACCTCACTGATTGCCAATCGTGTTTTCTTGTAACGATAGATAAGAAAATTTAGTGTTGCAGCAGCATCACTCTTCTTTCTTTTCGTATTTAATTATTTCAATTTTCCCTCACTTTTCTTCAAAATGTCAATTTTCCCTGACTCAAAATAAAATTCCCTGACTTTTTTGACCTCGAAGAATTTTTCCCTGACCATTTCCTGACCTGTGGCAACCCTGTGAGAAACCATCCACCTGGAAATACATTATTAGGCTACTGAAGGTGAGCCAGCGTTTTCAAATTCCTCCGGTTTGAAGAGCGTTTTCGAAAAGCTCCGTTTTTTTGACGGATTAGTGTGGACGGTAGGCCTAAACGTGAAAATAAAGCTGCGTTTTCAAATTTCCCCAGCGTAGCGTGGACGGGGCCTCAATTTACTTACCAGTATGGAGTCATAACCAGGAGGAGGAAGATTTCTACCAAAAAAACAAACACACAAAAGAAAAAAAGTTATCCCACTCAAGCACGTTAGACGACAAGGGTACAAATTATAATCAACCCAAATTTTGTTTTACAATTTTGAAGTGATAAGAGTTAGTAAGAAGTCTACCTTCCACGATCCTGCTGTACTACAGATTCAGTTAAACCGAGTCCAACATTGCATAACAGCAGCTTACCCAGCTGTCAAGAAGAGGAAAATATCAGACAATAGGCTCATCGTCCAGTAAATAACATATATCAGTGGTACCTCTCTTTACGAAAACTTTCATATTACGGACAGTTCAGTTGTCCCAGAGAATCCAGAATTCATGTATAATTTGAGTACCTTGATAATACCGACACTCAAATAATATGACAAGATAACTATGCCCTTTTCAGCCAAAAGCTTAGATCAGCTTACAAGATATTTAAAAACGTTTCAATTGATATTATTTTCTGCATAGATACTGCTTATTGATATTGCTTACAGAGGTGTACTGACTTGACAGTTCAGTGCAAGCCATGTTTGATGACGTCCATATCACCCACGTGCTAATTTAAACACTGACAAAAATGAAGAAACTTATGACAAAATTCTACTGAACTCCACTAAGCCTGGCGACGCAAGCACAAGCACAAGCGCAAACAATAATTCTCATTTCACCGTGAAAACGGCCTTGACGCAGGCACAAGCGCAAGTACAAGTACAAGGATCAAAATTTTTCTTTCTTCTTGTGCTTGCGCTTATGCTTGCGTTTGCGCTGCAACAAGTGAAAACGAAATACCGCTCAGGTATAACACAAGCGCAAGGATATTTACCACACGTGGTTAAGTTCGGCCAATGAAAACACTGGATCCAGATTACCTCGCGCCTAAACAGTTTGGAAAGTTCGGATGATTTTGCTTGTGCTTGTGTTTGCGTCGAATTTCGTTTTCACTTGGGACTTCCCTATTGCTTGTTCTTGTGCTTGCGTTTGTGCTTGCGTTTGTGCTTGCGTCGCTAATGAAAACCAGGCTTTAGTCTTCTAGGCGGAGGGAAAATTCATTTTCAGTTTCAATAAACTTCATTTAGAAATACACGACAAAAAGTACTTCACCGCTGAAAATGCCGCCGCTTGACTGGCTTGCATGGAAAAATATAAACCTTTGCCATACGGACCACGAGTGAAGTCTGAAAAGAAATTTGAAATTTTTTTTGAGTTGAAAAAAATGCTAGTAGATTGCAATACAAACTAAAGCAATTGAGGTGTGCTTTGCCACAAATAGCTTATAATCTACATATTAGTGTTGTCACCTTCTTTGCTAAATCCTCGTTTCATGATTTTTTCGATTTGTTCATCATTGCCGCCTCCACAGAAGTACAGCTGAGTACAGATTACAGGGTCGCCAAGTCGCTGAGTTCTGGAATCAAAACCAGTTTCCATAAAAGCTACGTGGCAGGACTCGACCTATGAAAAGTCGTTAACAAAAAATCAGTTCGTAATAACTTTGCATAATACCTTGCTACGATGAAAGCTTCTCCTATGAAATGACAGAGGAGATCAAATTCGTCACTAAGACTTATCAAAAGACAAAAAGACCAAATATAAAGTATCCCTAAAACCCCTAATAGGGCCTCTTGTCTAGGCGCGCCTCATACTCAGTATTACCCAAAAGAAACACCAACTAAACGCGCTAACTGGAACAAAAAGAGGCATTATTAAACCTGTAAGTGAGCACTCCTGTAAGTTCGAGGAGAGTTTCCGTCAAAACAATTTATAGAGAGTTCTCCCGTCGCTTAGTAACAGGTTGTGTTATTTAAGGAAATATACTTAACTCTGTACTCCAGAGACTGACCGACCATCCGCGTTCGCCTGAATAACAGGATTATTTGAGGGTTGAAGGCAGAAAAGGGGAAAAGAACGGGTGCGTTTCTCTCTCACTTATCCACCAAAAACACTTGCTAAGCAAGCAAGAGACGATGATCATAGTCTCTTAAACGCAAGCTAATGTAGATGGTTTTATGTATGCTTTGAGCGGTTTTCAATTGAGTTTTGTCAAACCAAAACCAAAGTAATCACAGACAATCCAGTGAACCTATCAAATCTTGAAGTAATTACATGTAGCTGACACAAAGCGCGGGAAAACGTGTGCGAGCGAGTCACGATTTGTTTTTGTTTTACTTCTGATTGGATGAAAAAGTGGTGATACAAATGGTTGACAGGCCAAACACGACTCCTATTGGTCAAGATAGAGGTAGCCAATGGCGTAACGTAGTCGATGTAAAACCCGTTACTTTTCGGCACTCAAATGAAAACTGCTCTATGACACATAGCAAAGCCAAACTGGACACGAGCAATTACAGGCGGCTGCATTCCCGTGCTTTAAAGCTTGTTCCGTGCATTTTACATTTCGTAAGGTTGTTTTACCTTCCTCACACTGTTAACTGTGATATCAGTGTAGTGTTTGGTGGCCATTAAGCTACGTTTGATCTGATGTACAAGGTGTTTCTCACTGCGACTTGTGATAAACGAGGAAACTAACTCTTCATCCTCTAAGAAAACAAAAAAGCGGTTATAATTAGCAATATAATTTAGCTCGCTTTCGTCTCAACTTTAAATATGTTGTTTTAAATAAGTCCATAAAACGCGCAGTTGTTTAGTAACTCTGAAATGAGACTTGTTACAGCAACTATGGAAAAATGGAGTGACAGTATGTTTTGGACTTCTCACGAGGCGTTATTAGGATTTTTTAGAAATGCCAAATGACCTTGAGGCACGTCACGAAAGTCTCCATGGGAAATCGCATCCAGGTCCAAGTCCATCTCGATGTCAGTGACGTGTTTTTTGCTAAGCATTTGAGCAAGTGCTTCATATAAGTCATCATCACCTGTAACATGAAAAAAGGAAGAGTCAGTCAGAAACTTTTTCAAGGAAACGGAAAATGTAACAAATTCTGAAAAAATAAAACGAGAGCAAAGATGGAATGACAAGACTTGAATGTTAACACAATATAAGTTTGTGTGCTGGTAGTAAAGGATATAACATTGTTTGACACAACCTATATAATAACAGTGAATATTTTATGGCTATTCAATATTTTCTAAAACACTATGCCGCTTACCATCAGAGTCTTCATCTGTTAAGATACCATCTTTTACCCTCACCTTGTAAGCAAGTAGTTCTTTTTCTGGACAGAAAATACAAAGTTTTGGTTTAACAATATGGCTAACTCTTGACATTAATTTTACAAACCTGTGTGGTCTACAATGCACATTTTCCAGTTGTAAGAAGATGAATCATCAACAAAGATGTATTTTCATAGTTGTATGCTTATGATAGCCTTGGGAGTTGTAAATTACAAATTACCCAATTTATATTTCTCCTTTTCAATTCGTTCTTTAGCGCTTGTCAGGGTCTTAATGGCTTCTTCTTGTGTGTCCACCTAGAAATAAAAAAAACAGCCAATTTAGATGTAAATTTTATAAAAATTTGTGTACATTTTTTCTCAAAAATGATTTGGAGTGCAATGTGAAACTTCAGGAATCAATTAATGTACAAAACGCATTTATACCTTTGTCACAGTGCCACAGCAAGTTTTCCTCTGAACTGTTCCAAAACTCTATGTTGAGTTATTAAACATTTAACCAAGAATTTGTTGTTTTCTGAACAATGATTACTTTTGTTTGTGTCATAGCAACCTTTTGGAATCTTATAATATCTATGGCATATTTATTATTACAAAAATCAAGTTTATTTGTTTACATGTGCATCTTTAGAGGGTTTAAAAGGGTTAATTTTTTACTTTATATAGAGAGATGTCCCAGCCTCAAGAGTCCTCTTGGGCCCAATGAGGATGAGTGATGGAGAGATGTCCATCTTTGCACTTATGAATCTGAGCCTTTCTTGAGAGTGTGGAAAAAAAATGGAGGGGACAAAATAAAAACCAGGGCTGTCAAGCATTTTCTCAGGAATAGCCTGTGAACAGGCTCTCTAGTTGAGGATGGAGCAAAGAGGAGGCAGGAAGAAAGAGGATAGAAGAGAGGGGAGGGGAGAGCTCCACTGTCCCATCCCCACCCCAACCCCCTCAGCCACTTCACTCTCAGCAAGTTCTTTTTCAGCCCTTGCAGCTTGAGCCTGTTCACAGGCTATCTCAGGTATAAGGGAGCATGAGCCTCTTCCCTAGGTGTGCCAGTGCAATGGATCTCGCAATATTAATTCAAACACCTTAACGTACCACAGCTTTCAGAGTCTTTATTTCATGCTGCATTCTCACCATACAAGTAGCCTGAGCTTGGTATGCCTCAAGGCTTTTCTCTCTCCTATGAAAGAAAGCATCTTGTTTGTTAGTTATAGCAGAATCTATAATCACCAAGACATAAAACTTACAGTAGTCAAAGAGATGCTTGAAAAGAACATGTTGATTTAGCTAATTTTGAGAAGTGTTACATAACTTAAGGGAAGGTTAAATTTAATTTTGATTTTGATTTCATTACCATTTTCTTAAATCATCATCCATAGCTTTCAGATCCTCATCACTCCTGAATGCACCAGAAAAATCAGAGCCTGAAAATTAAATTACATTTTAAACATGAGCTTCAACACTGGAACAACAAAATCTTTATCTGGTTGATTGTATTTTCCTCTTCATCAATCTCTTTGTGCAACTGTTAAGTACAAGATGTAGTAAGAGTTTAAGAAGAATTGAACCTTTGCAAGGTGAAACAACCTCACTTTCATCTATAGTAGCCATATTCTCCAACAGAAAATATAGCCAAGGACTAAAAGTTTTTGGACATTTTCAGCCAAGACCTTGTTTTCACAACTGATTAGTCTGAATAGATCAGTTCCCTTTGGAAGAATGATCACAGACAGGAGAACTCTCAAAGTTTTTCCTGAGGGGACAGAGTGGATCTCCAACTAATAAAGGTGTAGTGAGACAACATAATATAAATATATTTTTCTCTTAACTAGAACTCACCAGTGAATGGAGGGAGGTAACACATCAAAGTACTATTGATCCAGTGATCTGTCAGTTCACTAAAAATCAACATGACCATTTATTTGTAAGTATCAACTGTCCTTTTGCATGAAGAGTCAAAGAATAATTAGAGTAGAGAAGTATTTGATCATTTTTTCATTCTTACCTAAATCTGCTGCAGAGAACAACATCATCAGTGAAGCCATTTCTCTTGAAGAAATCCACAGCATCATTATCAGCATATGCGGCTATTGTATCATAGGAACCAATGATAGTTGGATCTTTTAGAGTCTGCAACATTTGAATAACATAATGCCATGTTATTACAAGTCATAGGTAAAGATTAAGTCTTCATACAAGCCAAGTAGCCCATCAAGCCAGAGGTTATTCCGGTTTCTGTAGCATGGAATACTGCAACACAATGAACACAACGCAATGTCCCTGGCCAGGGCTTGAACCTGGACCACTCGATCCAGAGGCGAGCGTACTAACTATGAGGCATCCATGTGATGATGAAAAAAATGAACAATGACCATTTCTATGATAACTTACTTCAAGAAGGAACTTCCCAACTCCAGATTTCCGACACCTTCTCCTGACTCCTAATAAGTTAAGCTGTATAACCTTCTCTGATGGCCTGTGACGTGTTATACTGAAATAAAAAGTACAGAAAATGGGTATGAATTCTCTGTAGTAGCTAAATTATATAAATAGTTTAAAGTTGAACTACATGTAGATGTCCACGAATATCATGACCTCACCTGTATGAGCGTTCAAATGTCGCAGCCCCAATGATCAGAGATTCAATTCCCAGGGAAGATTCTGAAACTAAATCAAACAACTTTTTGTAACTCTCCCATCAATTTCAGAGAGCCTTTAGAAATGAAACACTATTAGTAGTCTGTTGTTACCATTATCACTCTGTCTCTGCGTTCTCCTTTTTTTAACTGCTTCAACAAAATCTTCAGCTCCTTTTGAGAAATCCTCTTCTTCATCTTCACTAATCAAACAATCAAATAACAGTGTCAGAAATGAAGACATGATTGATCATCACAGTTATACACACAACATAAACAGTTGTGAGAATACAGCCTGAAAAAAAATTCAGACCTGAACGGGATTCATAACTGCTTAAGTTGTGTGTATAACTGTGATGATCAATCATGTCTTAATATCTTTTTCCGCAGTTCAAATATATGATATTTTGTATATTCACTTGCATGGTGTCAGAAATGTTTTGTCCTCTTACTTTTGATCACAGATAAAAATATTTGACTTTTCTTTCCACAACACCTGCAGTCAAATACAGTGCCCTTTTGGCAAAGAATTGCTTTTCCTGGGCAGTATCAATATCTCACAGTACAGATAAGACCACTTCACAAGGGCCTTGCCTTTTAAGCTATATTATATTTGGTGTACCTCTCTTAGTCGTCTCAGAGAAGAGTGAGATTTTACAGTATATCATGCTTACATCCAATTTAGCGCAAATACAATGTATATTTTCTGAATAGCACTAAGGTTTCTCTGTTGACAAATTAACACAACTAATTAATTTCACTCTCTCGAATATACCAACCCCCATAAGTGGATGATGAGTTACTATGTAAAGCCTGCATATGAGCCAAGTGGCCCATCAGGCCGGAGCTTATCCCTGTTTCTGCAGCATGATGCAAGCCCAGCCCACCATACAAACCCTTTGGTAAGTGAATATTTAAAATGTTAAGTTAAGGTGCCTTCTGTAGTCTATATGGGAGTTTCCACTCTGGACTTTATACCTTTCACCAGATGCTTCGCTATCGTCTGTGTCACTGAAAACTCCATCAAATTTTCCTGGTTCATCATCCTTCTCTTTCTCTTTGACTTCACCCTCCACCTGATCTGTTTTACTGTCTTTTTCCTTTACTGTACAATGATCATTCAGAGCCACTCCACTATCACAATTACAACTCTTGATCTCAAAGGAGCACTTATCACAAACACTATTTAACTTCTCTGAGTTTTCATCTTCTTGTGAGCTTTCATCACCAGAGTCTGAACTTTCACTTTTTGCATCTCGTGTATCACTCCATGACACCTGTTTGTTTAGCTTTCTTGTTCGTTTATGATCAANGCTTACAAGATATTTAAAAACGTTTCAATTGATATTATTTTCTGCATAGATACTGCTTATTGATATTGCTTACAGAGGTGTACTGACTTGACAGTTCAGTGCAAGCCATGTTTGATGACGTCCATATCACCCACGTGCTAATTTAAACACTGACAAAAATGAAGAAACTTATGACAAAATTCTACTGAACTCCACTAAGCCTGGCGACGCAAGCACAAGCACAAGCGCAAACAATAATTCTCATTTCACCGTGAAAACGGCCTTGACGCAGGCACAAGCGCAAGTACAAGTACAAGGATCAAAATTTTTCTTTCTTCTTGTGCTTGCGCTTATGCTTGCGTTTGCGCTGCAACAAGTGAAAACGAAATACCGCTCAGGTATAACACAAGCGCAAGGATATTTACCACACGTGGTTAAGTTCGGCCAATGAAAACACTGGATCCAGATTACCTCGCGCCTAAACAGTTTGGAAAGTTCGGATGATTTTGCTTGTGCTTGTGTTTGCGTCGAATTTCGTTTTCACTTGGGACTTCCCTATTGCTTGTTCTTGTGCTTGCGTTTGTGCTTGCGTTTGTGCTTGCGTCGCTAATGAAAACCAGGCTTTAGTCTTCTAGGCGGAGGGAAAATTCATTTTCAGTTTCAATAAACTTCATTTAGAAATACACGACAAAAAGTACTTCACCGCTGAAAATGCCGCCGCTTGACTGGCTTGCATGGAAAAATATAAACCTTTGCCATACGGACCACGAGTGAAGTCTGAAAAGAAATTTGAAATTTTTTTTGAGTTGAAAAAAATGCTAGTAGATTGCAATACAAACTAAAGCAATTGAGGTGTGCTTTGCCACAAATAGCTTATAATCTACATATTAGTGTTGTCACCTTCTTTGCTAAATCCTCGTTTCATGATTTTTTCGATTTGTTCATCATTGCCGCCTCCACAGAAGTACAGCTGAGTACAGATTACAGGGTCGCCAAGTCGCTGAGTTCTGGAATCAAAACCAGTTTCCATAAAAGCTACGTGGCAGGACTCGACCTATGAAAAGTCGTTAACAAAAAATCAGTTCGTAATAACTTTGCATAATACCTTGCTACGATGAAAGCTTCTCCTATGAAATGACAGAGGAGATCAAATTCGTCACTAAGACTTATCAAAAGACAAAAAGACCAAATATAAAGTATCCCTAAAACCCCTAATAGGGCCTCTTGTCTAGGCGCGCCTCATACTCAGTATTACCCAAAAGAAACACCAACTAAACGCGCTAACTGGAACAAAAAGAGGCATTATTAAACCTGTAAGTGAGCACTCCTGTAAGTTCGAGGAGAGTTTCCGTCAAAACAATTTATAGAGAGTTCTCCCGTCGCTTAGTAACAGGTTGTGTTATTTAAGGAAATATACTTAACTCTGTACTCCAGAGACTGACCGACCATCCGCGTTCGCCTGAATAACAGGATTATTTGAGGGTTGAAGGCAGAAAAGGGGAAAAGAACGGGTGCGTTTCTCTCTCACTTATCCACCAAAAACACTTGCTAAGCAAGCAAGAGACGATGATCATAGTCTCTTAAACGCAAGCTAATGTAGATGGTTTTATGTATGCTTTGAGCGGTTTTCAATTGAGTTTTGTCAAACCAAAACCAAAGTAATCACAGACAATCCAGTGAACCTATCAAATCTTGAAGTAATTACATGTAGCTGACACAAAGCGCGGGAAAACGTGTGCGAGCGAGTCACGATTTGTTTTTGTTTTACTTCTGATTGGATGAAAAAGTGGTGATACAAATGGTTGACAGGCCAAACACGACTCCTATTGGTCAAGATAGAGGTAGCCAATGGCGTAACGTAGTCGATGTAAAACCCGTTACTTTTCGGCACTCAAATGAAAACTGCTCTATGACACATAGCAAAGCCAAACTGGACACGAGCAATTACAGGCGGCTGCATTCCCGTGCTTTAAAGCTTGTTCCGTGCATTTTACATTTCGTAAGGTTGTTTTACCTTCCTCACACTGTTAACTGTGATATCAGTGTAGTGTTTGGTGGCCATTAAGCTACGTTTGATCTGATGTACAAGGTGTTTCTCACTGCGACTTGTGATAAACGAGGAAACTAACTCTTCATCCTCTAAGAAAACAAAAAAGCGGTTATAATTAGCAATATAATTTAGCTCGCTTTCGTCTCAACTTTAAATATGTTGTTTTAAATAAGTCCATAAAACGCGCAGTTGTTTAGTAACTCTGAAATGAGACTTGTTACAGCAACTATGGAAAAATGGAGTGACAGTATGTTTTGGACTTCTCACGAGGCGTTATTAGGATTTTTTAGAAATGCCAAATGACCTTGAGGCACGTCACGAAAGTCTCCATGGGAAATCGCATCCAGGTCCAAGTCCATCTCGATGTCAGTGACGTGTTTTTTGCTAAGCATTTGAGCAAGTGCTTCATATAAGTCATCATCACCTGTAACATGAAAAAAGGAAGAGTCAGTCAGAAACTTTTTCAAGGAAACGGAAAATGTAACAAATTCTGAAAAAATAAAACGAGAGCAAAGATGGAATGACAAGACTTGAATGTTAACACAATATAAGTTTGTGTGCTGGTAGTAAAGGATATAACATTGTTTGACACAACCTATATAATAACAGTGAATATTTTATGGCTATTCAATATTTTCTAAAACACTATGCCGCTTACCATCAGAGTCTTCATCTGTTAAGATACCATCTTTTACCCTCACCTTGTAAGCAAGTAGTTCTTTTTCTGGACAGAAAATACAAAGTTTTGGTTTAACAATATGGCTAACTCTTGACATTAATTTTACAAACCTGTGTGGTCTACAATGCACATTTTCCAGTTGTAAGAAGATGAATCATCAACAAAGATGTATTTTCATAGTTGTATGCTTATGATAGCCTTGGGAGTTGTAAATTACAAATTACCCAATTTATATTTCTCCTTTTCAATTCGTTCTTTAGCGCTTGTCAGGGTCTTAATGGCTTCTTCTTGTGTGTCCACCTAGAAATAAAAAAAAAAACAGCCAATTTAGATGTAAATTTTATAAAACTTTGTGTACATTTTTTCTCAAAAATAATTTGGAGTGCAATGTGAAACTTCAGGAATCAATTAATGTACAAAACGCATTTATACCTTTGTCACAGTGCCACAGCAAGTTTTCCTCTGAACTGTTCCAAAACTCTATGTTGAGTTATTAAACATTTAACCAAGAATTTGTTGTTTTCTGAACAATGATTACTTTTGTTTGTGTCATAGCAACCTTTTGGAATCTTATAATATCTATGGCATATTTATTATTACAAAAATCAAGTTTATTTGTTTACATGTGCATCTTTAGAGGGTTTAAAAGGGTTAATTTTTTACTTTATATAGAGAGATGTCCCAGCCTCAAGAGTCCTCTTGGGCCCAATGAGGATGAGTGATGGAGAGATGTCCATCTTTGCACTTTTGAATCTGAGCCTTTCTTGAGAGTGTGTAAAAAAAATGGAGGGGACAAAATAAAAACCAGGGCTGTCAAGCATTTTCTCAGGAATAGCCTGTGAACAGGCTCTCTAGTTGAGGATGGAGCAAAGAGGAGGCAGGAAGAAAGAGGATAGAAGAGAGGGGAGGGGAGAGCTCCACTGTCCCATCCCCACCCCAACCCCCTCAGCCACTTCACTCTCAGCAAGTTCTTTTTCAGCCCTTGCAGCTTGAGCCTGTTCACAGGCTATCTCAGGTATAAGGGAGCATGAGCCTCTTCCCTAGGTGTGCCAGTGCAATGGATCTCGCAATATTAATTCAAACACCTTAACGTACCACAGCTTTCAGAGTCTTTATTTCATGCTGCATTCTCACCATACAAGTAGCCTGAGCTTGGTATGCCTCAAGGCTTTTCTCTCTCCTATGAAAGAAAGCATCTTGTTTGTTAGTTATAGCAGAATCTATAATCACCAAGACATAAAACTTACAGTAGTCAAAGAGATGCTTGAAAAGAACATGTTGATTTAGCTAATTTTGAGAAGTGTTACATAACTTAAGGGAAGGTTAAATTTAATTTTGATTTTGATTTCATTACCATTTTCTTAAATCATCATCCATAGCTTTCAGATCCTCATCACTCCTGAATGCACCAGAAAAATCAGAGCCTGAAAATTAAATTACATTTTAAACATGAGCTTCAACACTGGAACAACAAAATCTCTATCTGGTTGATTGTATTTTCCTCTTCATCAATCTCTTTGTGCAACTGTTAAGTACAAGATGTAGTAAGAGTCTAAGAAGAATTGAACCTTTGCAAGGTGAAACAACCTCACTTTCATCTATAGTAGCCATATTCTCCAACAGAAAATATAGCCAAGGACTAAACGTTTTTGGACATTTTCAGCCAAGACCTTGTTTTCACAACTGATTAGTCTGAATAGATCAGTTCCCTTTGGAAGAATGATCACAGACAGGAGAACTCTCAAAGTTTTTCCTGAGGGGACAGAGTGGATCTCCAACTAATAAAGGTGTAGTGAGACAACATAATATAAATATATTTTTCTCTTAACTAGAACTCACCAGTGAATGGAGGGAGGTAACACATCAAAGTACTATTGATCCAGTGATCTGTCAGTTCACTAAAAATCAACATGACCATTTATTTGTAAGTATCAACTGTCCTTTTGCATGAAGAGTCAAAGAATAATTAGAGTAGAGAAGTATTTGATCATTTTTTCATTCTTACCTAAATCTGCTGCAGAGAACAACATCATCAGTGAAGCCATTTCTCTTGAAGAAATCCACAGCATCATTATCAGCATATGCGGCTATTGTATCATAGGAACCAATGATAGTTGGATCTTTTAGAGTCTGCAACATTTGAATAACATAATGCCATGTTATTACAAGTCATAGGTAAAGATTAAGTCTTCATACAAGCCAAGTAGCCCATCAAGCCAGAGGTTATTCCGGTTTCTGTAGCATGGAATACTGCAACACAATGAACACAACGCAATGTCCCTGGCCAGGGCTTGAACCTGGACCACTCGATCCAGAGGCGAGCGTACTAACTATGAGGCATCCATGTGATGATGAAAAAAATGAACAATGACCATTTCTATGATAACTTACTTCAAGAAGGAACTTCCCAACTCCAGATTTCCGACACCTTCTCCTGACTCCTAATAAGTTAAGCTGTATAACCTTCTCTGATGGCCTGTGACGTGTTATACTGAAATAAAAAGTACAGAAAATGGGTATGAATTCTCTGTAGTAGCTAAATTATATAAATAGTTTAAAGTTGAACTACATGTAGATGTCCACGAATATCATGACCTCACCTGTATGAGCGTTCAAATGTCGCAGCCCCAATGATCAGAGATTCAATTCCCAGGGAAGATTCTGAAACTAAATCAAACAACTTTTTGTAACTCTCCCATCAATTTCAGAGAGCCTTTAGAAATGAAACACTATTAGTAGTCTGTTGTTACCATTATCACTCTGTCTCTGCGTTCTCCTTTTTTTAACTGCTTCAACAAAATCTTCAGCTCCTTTTGAGAAATCCTCTTCTTCATCTTCACTAATCAAACAATCAAATAACAGTGTCAGAAATGAAGACATGATTGATCATCACAGTTATACACACAACATAAACAGTTGTGAGAATACAGCCTGAAAAAAA